ATTCTACAACAGTGGCATCATGTAATATTTGTCCTTTTGTGACTGGGATATTTCACTCAGCATAATGTTCTCCAGAGTCTTATCTTCTAACCTTCCATTCTTGATGTCCTCTAAGTACTGATCCCTCCTGGCCATGTATGTGAGACAGAGTTAAAAAATCCTTGTCTCTAAGGAGCAGCCTTGTTTCACTATCTTCGTGACAAACTTGTGTGTTCTCTTGGCAGTTCTTTGCCAAAGTAAGAATACTTAAAAGATTCCTAAGATGATAATTTTATAATTTTATTTTTCTTAAATGGGCATTTTTAAGAGTCTTATCCATTACTGATATTCTTCTCCCCCAATTTTTAATGATGCTGTCTTATATAGTGATTTTTCTGACGCTTATATTCTTAAGTTGTAAATTGATTTTCTGGGAGGGATCGTTCTGTTTTGTTGGGTTATTTTTCTTTACAACAGATATTTGAGCAATTTACATATATATTTGAGGATCATTTGTCCTGTATTATGTATTAAGGGGTAAGATAAAGAAGCGCTATTTGTATTAGAGTGCATAAAATACTTATCAGAGAGTACTCTAGTTTTATTCAGTAATCACAAGTGTGGGTATTACAATAAAATAATTTCTCCTATAAATTGCTATGTGTAGTTTAATTAACGTTTTGAATTTTTTTTTTTTTTACAAGAAAGGTGTATGTTAAAAAGGTCTGGGACATCTCTAGCTTCTGTGAGAGATCTTGACAAGTTTTCTGAGACCAGTTGATTGCTCTCTAAGTTTGGTTTGTGAACTACCATTATCAGTACATTAGAAACACTTTATTATAAAGTATATGAAAAATAATTGAATGTGCAGCATAGATTTTATTAGTGATGGGAGATGTGGTACAAATCAGCAACTAGAGCTTCTGATAGCCACTTACAAGAGATTACTTCTCTTGCCAGATCTTGAGAAGTTTAGCATGAAAGTAGGCCTGGCATTTTCTTTGCTGGTGTTAATGTTTTCCCTTTATTAATTTCCATTCCATCCCACTTTCAATGAGGTTAAGTGATACTAAGGAGTGTTTATGTGCTTAGAAAATGGAAGCTGTTCATATGTAAGGAGTCACTGTAGCTATTCAGGTTGGAAAAACATGGCTGTAGAAGTGTGCTTAAGATTAATTAATAAACTTGTTTTCTCCATGTACATCTATCTACCTTGTAAATGAAAACAGGAGAACTTGTTAATATTTGCAAAAATATTAATGACAATAAATGAGAACCAAGTAACATTATGAGTAGAAAATGAATGTTTGAAGTTAGGCATCAGGTTTCTTGAACATGGGTTGTGATGGTCAAGAAAGGCATGTGGTTGATCAGAAGCTGTTTGCTAGGTATCCATTTGGAATTAAAGGAGATCACAGGATAACATTGTAGTCATATTCAATGCCATGCAAGTGTATTCAGTAGCCAACTTAGTCATTACCTGGTTGCACTAAGACATTTTTCCGTCATTTATTTCTTATTATCCAGATCTAGCCCTCAAAAATATTCAATGTACAAATATGCATTATATTTATAATAATATGGCATTATTCAGAGCAAAAAATATTTGCTTGTTTTTAAAGCATATTATAAAGCATGGGGTATATTTACTGTGCTGTATTTAAAGAAAGAACAGGTAATTAATTCTATGTCTAGCAAGTAAGTGCTTTTATTTGTTTTTCCAAATCTATAACCATTTCAATCTATTTTTGCTAGCAGAATCCCAGGAGTTCTGGCAATGTAATTAATTCCAAATATTTGGATTCACTAGTTTATGTGAAAAAAGAGAACTTTGAAACTTGGTTGAATTTTTTTTCTGAGGAGGAATGTGGGAAGGGATTTAGTGCTTGTAGTCTAAGTAATTATCTGAGTACTGCTTTTCACATTAAATTTTACTATTCCCCCCCTCGGTTCTTTTTTTTTTTTTAGTTTCCATAGCAAGGCGTGTACAAGATCCATTAGCTGAACTAGTGAAAATTGAGCCGAAGCACATCGGTGTTGGAATGTATCAGGTAAAGCACTATGGAGCATTTAATGTATGAAGTTTGTCAAAAGAAGGAACAGTAGTCAAATCTAGCATTAAGTGTCAATGGGAGTAGATTGTTGTTTTCAAATGTTGTGCAACTGGTATGAAGGTAGTTTTTGTTGTTGTTGTGTGCCGTTGAGTTGCTTGTGACTCACAGTGACCCTATGTACAACAGCTCTGAATGCTGCTCTATCCTGAGCCAACCTCACCGTACTCTTTGGTTTGTTTGTAAGAGTGCAAGATCAAACATTTTGTCATTTCCTTGTATTTACGAAGTGTTGTTGCTCTTAATAGCTTAAGTACATGTATGTTTGCTTGTCTATCATCTATTCTTTTGGGTTAAAACATTGAATCAAACTTGTAATTTAATTTAGCAAGCCTTGTCCTTTTAACATTATTGTATTAAAATCAGAGGGGTCAGGTAGAGTGAAGCAGGGAAGTATTGGATCTTTGTATAAACCAATATGGGGTATTGATCTTCCAAGAAGACATCTTTGACATCTGCTTTGCCTCCTCTCCCCACCCAATTTTCCCATTCCTATAGTTAGTGTTGGTTTTTCCTCAGTGTAGATTAAAACTCTTCAGTTGCTGTCTTTGTGTACTAGTTATAATAGGAGCTTTTGGGGTTGTTTGTATCTTTGGGCAGCTGGAGACAGTATTAAATCTTGGCTGAGTCAAGTCCTGATTATAACAGAATGGTTGAGTAGTCTTCAGAAAGCTGAAGTCAGATTCTTCTTTTCTTTCATGAAACTGAAATCCTTCTTGGACCTGAAATAATTTAAGTCCTTCTTAAACATGAAATAAAATATTACCCTCTCTTTAGTTTTCATGAGATTTAAATGATAGTGCTTACACTTTCTCTTAAAAAATATTAGCTCATAAATCCATGGGGGAAAAAAATCCGTGACCGCCAGAATTTGGGAAAAAACTTCCAAAGCCTTACAGCTGTTTGCTTTTGTTTGACAGAAAAAGGAGCTACATCTTAGATGCTGTATTTTAACATACTTAGGGTTTTTACCTAGGATCACTTAGTGACAAGGCCCTGAGTAGTCTTATCTAGTACCAGCACTGGGAGTATTCCTCTTTATCTCGCTCTCCATATATATATATATATCTCATGTGTAGAAATGAGATATAGATTAGATAGATAGATAGATAGATAGATATCAGATTACACTAAGAGGCATCCAATCATTGGTAATCATTGAACACTTGCTGAAGGGATTGATCCAACTAAAACTAGATACAAATACCTCTAAAGAGTACAACTATGGCAATTGTGTGATATAGGCATATAGTTTAGAGAAATTATAATTAGTGTTGATCCGTGAGGAAGTTACAGAGTGCCCCATAGAGTACTGTAATAAAGAGGAGAGAGATAAAAATTATAAACCTGGACAGGCTAATAAATTTCCAGAAGTTTTGAAAAAATGTCAGGGCCACAGGACAACCCATATCGTGTGCACTGCCATCTGACCAGCTTTCCATCTTGGTGCACACCTGCTACATACCTGGCCTAGATCAGCTACAAGGAACTCTACTCCTTTTAGGCTTAGTTTCCATTGTTTATTTTCTGATTACCAGGATACTGCCAAATTTAACCCATGATTTCTAGACTGTGGTTGGAAACTTTATTGTACAATTGTGATCAAATGAATGATATTAGAGTATTGAACAAGAGTGAAGGAAGCCAAAAAGATTTGGTTTTTTTAATATTTATTTCCATTTTATTGTAGGTTTTTTTATCATACTAGTTTAAATACATTTCTTCACAGCTACTCTAGTACAGTTCTTTTGGAACTATTTCATTCATTCCTAGCATGTTACTGAAAGAATGAATCTAAAGAAACAATATTCCAAATGACCAACTTTTTTTTTTTTTTAAATCTTATTTTATTGTTTCTTTGTGTGTGTACAGTCAAATTGGATCTGACTGGTACAGGAGGAGATTGCCCCTCCTTCTCCAGCAGAGCATCTTATGGATTCGAATCACATACCTCTGAAATGACCAACTTTCAAATAAGTAGACAGGATAAAGGATATAGTTATTAGCTAATGATTATGGCTATTAAGCATGAACAGGACACATCACTTCCTCTACTACAGGAATTGATAGATTAGGGCTTTCAAATAATATGGGCAAACAAGAGTACAATAAATAAGGCTTCTGTAGTTCAAGCCTCCCATAGTCCTTTACGCCTCTGACATAGCAAGGCAAGAAATCTTTCCTGTAAACGAAATGAGATTATAATATTTCAGTCTAATTGAACTTTCACAGAAAGAAGTTCAAGACATATTAATATATACACACACAGTCTTGACTATGGTTGTATTAATTAATTATGTCTGGAAAGCTTACTACCCATCCAAGTCCAAAGGTGGAAGGACACATAAACTGGTATGGTGATTGGCAGGAGCAGACTGTAAAAACTTAGGCTTGTTGTGCTGGTGCAACCCTGAGGGAAATTATCTTCCACGGAGGCTGAGTAGAACAGTCCTGCTAGAGAAACCAGGGGAATCAGCACAGTCAAGGTAGGAAGAGATAGAAACATTCTTCTCTTCCACTTATACCTCACCCCACTGACTTTTTAAATCGTATTAGTATTGTTGTTTTTAACTATATGGTTTAGTGCTGCTCCTCTTCTTCTTTCTTCTTATTTTGATATGTCCTCCTGGCTGCCTGTGGAATCATATTAGGAATGCCATCAGTGACAGGATAGGCAGTTCCTAACTCTTCATTAGTCAATCATTGGTTGATGCTTCATATCTGAGCCGCTTCTTAGAGAATGGGCACAGCAGGAACTTCAGCAACACCCAAGAAGCCGAGCGGCTCCTCCGCCCTCTCACTCGGGTCCCCCGACTGTCGGGGGTGACAGGGGACAGGGATGTGCGCCGTGGCGTGCAGCACTTAGGCGAGCCAGCCGCAGGCTCCAAGCTGCATGGTCCGACAACTAGCGGCCTCACTTCTCTGCCATGTGTTTTCTTTTTGTGGGCACATTGTGAAAAATACAGTGAGTAACTGGATAGTTGAGCTCAGATGTTCTTCAAAATGTAATCCTCAACTGAAAAATGTGGAAATAAGAACGAAAATAACCAGGATTTTGAGGACATTTGAAATCTTCCATATTAATCTAATACAAGATTCAAATAGAAAGGATGGGGATATTATTATCACAGAGATAATAGCAGGAAATTTGAAAAGGCCTAGTGAGTATATAATAAAAGATAGACAAAAGACCTACACTCAGGTTCTTCTTACCAAGTTTCAGAATGCCAGAAATAGAACCTTCAGAGAGCAAATAGAGTTTATCTACATAGAATCAGATTGACATCACTTCCATTATTTGGAAAAATGAATGATAGAAGATAAATGAAGTAGTTGTGACTACAGTTATATTGAATTCACTATTGCATATTCAAGCAGTTACATGTGAGAGAAGGAAAAAACCCAAAAACTATTTTGGATCTGTATGATTCACCTTTCTTTTTTTAAATTTCTTTGAAAGAAATTGTTAGGAGAGAATAAGTGCCTAAAACATGAGGAAGATGCCCGAAGAAGGAAGATGACATACTGTAAAATGTTACATTAGGAAACAATACAGTGGTAGGCCTAAAATGCACTGCACACACACTCTCTCACACACACACATACATGCACACACATACCCTCAGAGTAACGTGAATAGTTAAGTCTCATTGTTTTTGCTACATAATGTTAATCTTTAAATAGATCGTCATGACATTATCATGTCAACTTAGGAGGATGGAGGAAAAAGATAGGATAAAATAGGATTCTTGGCTTTATCAAGAAGAAGATTCTGATGTTCATTAATTCTAGCATTAATTAACTTTTGTTTGGAAGAACTTCTGGTACATGGATGAAATAGAAAGTAATACCGATATTGATAGCAGACAAAATAGAATGCAAAATGCGTTAGCAAGGGAGCTTTGGTGGCCTAGTGGCAAGATGCTGCACTGCGGTCCCAGAGGTATGCAATTCAAACCCACCAGATGCTCTGCTGGAGAAGGAGGAGGCGATCTCCTCCTGTACCCATCAGATCTGATTTGATGGTACACATAAAAGATAATAAAATAAATAAAATTTTAAAAAAAGAAAAACTAAAAAAAAAATGGATTTTTAAAAAATGTGTTAGCAGGCCATATGGGCTTATTTTATAGTGACATTTACAATCTCTCAAGATATAACTGTCTGAACATTCTGTGTTACCTAATACCCATGCCTGTACTCAGAAAATATAAAAATTCAAAGAAGAGGCAACTTTGCTTTTTTTTGTACAAGTATTTAATGGAACCTAGTGTTGTTGGCCTAGAGGTAAGTAGTTGCACTGGCAACCCACCAGCACACAGTTCAAATGTGCAAGCTGCTATGTGGAAAAAAGATGCGCAATTCCCCATGCTAGTAACTTTTCTGGAAAACCCACTGGAAGGTCAGCTGTGGGTCATTTCCAACTGAAAGATATGAAACAACAAAGTATGTTAACAGGAAGCTCTGATGGCTTAGTAGTAAGAAGCAAGTGATTCCATTCCACCGGCTAGCTACTCCACAAGAGAAGAATGGCCATTCTCCTGTCATGAGATTTACTGTCTCTGAAAATCCACTGCAGAGTCAGTCAGCTAAGAGTCATTTCTGACTCAACAACACAAAACAACAACAACCTATTAACCCATTTTAAAAAGCATTTTGTTAAAAGTACATGCCATAAAATTCACCACTTAAAGTATTTCAAATAGCAAGGTTTGTTTTTAGTTTGTTGTTTATTATGTCCCTAAGTTTCTGAAAACGTTGTTGCTGTTGTTAAATGCCATCGAGTCATAGGTGACTCATAGTGACCCTATGAACGAAAGACCTGAACACTTGTATAATTTTCATCATTTCTGCAAGTTCATAGGGTTTCTGGAGGCAAGCTATTTGCTTCCAAGTTTGTTTTGATCGGGGAGCTCCACCAAACACTGTCCACCATGGGT